GAAAGAGGTGTCGCATCCCGCTCCGAATGACTGCTTTGACAGGTTCCCGAGCCTACATCCTTTTGAATGCTATTGCGGGGTGGAGTCACCGGAATATCGACCGAAGTATCCTCTGTCTTCATGTCGTGCTCAGATCGATTCTCTGTCCGTTCCTCGGACCCATGGGAAGTGGTGCTGGCGCTGGACATGAACTCTTCTTCATCATCTGTTAGATTTTCCACATCGGAGCTGACTCTCGATCCCAGAAATAAGCTGCTGGGACCAGCCATGTTACTGCTGGCGGATAATGTATGGTAGCTATCCATGCCGACTGAGGAGGGGCTCCGAGCACCAGACGGAAGCCAGCCACTGGCGCTGAGTGGTGGCGCAATTGCGAATCAAAAGGTCTTGTTCGGAGTGACGGTCTTAAATAGGTCTGAGGGTCCGGAGTGATAATAAGGATGCTAGGAGCGGAAGTAACGGGATCGGATCCGGGGTAAACGAAGCAGTCGAGGACGGGGCGCCGGTGGGAACACGGGCAGATCGACCAGATGGCACCGCAAGGAAGAAACCGCCAATCAGGGACCGGCGGTCAGATGCATGCTACTGGCCTCAGATCTGCATGCCACACATCAGCACGGCAAGGAATCCACTCTCGTACCGTCTGAAGACTGAAGAGAGCCCGAGCAAGGAAACAGAGGAGCACGGAGTACAGAGTAGAGCTTGGGGATCCGTATCCTCGGTGGGACGCTGTCCACTTGGTGGCGGCGAGACGGTGGTTGGGGCTCCCTTCCGGGCCTAGCGCCCCTCCCCGTGACAGCGGCCCCGGACCCGTGACTAGACATTTGCTAGATTTACGCTACGGTTGCTATAGTCGTCATATCTATGATCTACAATACTGACTCGCTCACAATTAAAGTTGCTTACTCTGTCATAAGTACTGCATATATCCGATCCATTATGAGATAGAAATAATACCTTATGAAACAAGCATATTTGCCGATAACAATTGCTGACAAGAAATAAAAAGCCATTCACATTCACAGAAAGCGAAACAAAACAAGCACCCCAAACGGCTCATATGCTAGTAGTATTTTCAAGACAAAGAACATCGCACACCCGACCATGAAAGCCTTCTAGTCCCGAAGACTGGCTAGACCCCTGCGCAGATGCCAGCGCTGCTGATGTTCCGGGCATCAGAAGGACCTTCGATCCGATTTCGATCCACTCAACTGACGATACAAATTCGAATGTGATCTTGATATCGCCTTGTCCTGGGTTGATAGACGACTGTACCATCTCTTGTACCCCTGGTTCGTGACCACGTTCGTGGCCTGAAGTGTCGCCGTCAAAACTGAAGAACTCCGGTTCGGTCGGTGACGATGGCCGGGAGAAGACCTCATCCTCTGCAAGAGACATGCTCGACAACTTCACTGTCGTGCGAACATTGGCCACATATACTGTGGCATTCCCTCCCAGCAGCACCGGCGGGGACAGCGGAGACGCGAACTCGCTAGACGGGAAGCTGGCTACGAAGCCAGTGTGAAACGGAAGGGTTCTTGGTATAGAAGCAGATGGTGCTGCCAGTTTGAACAAGATGGAACCCTTTCGTATTCTTCCCAGTCGTGGCGCCTCCCCATTCGCAGTCAAGGGCAACGGTTCTATTCCGATCGTTCCCACTTGGTCTTGTGTCAGTTTTTGAACTGGGAGTCGCAGATTCCGCACACTGACTGCGCGGACACGTTGCCAGTATGCCTGCGGTGGGAAAGATGACTTCCCAGGTAGTGAGCCATGGACAAAAGAGGTTGAGAAATCCCCAGAAACGGGTCTGCTCCGATTCGCGCTAGAATGCTGAATGCTGTCCAGCCGTTTCTCTGATCGACTCCTCTGCCTCTGTAAGCAATTTCCCGAGTCTGATGTGCTAGGCATCAAAGGTCCGACGAGTAGCTCGTCTCCTGCTGAAATAGATCCGTAGCGCACCAGACCACAAAGAACTACGCCATGGGCTTCCTTCCTTTCTTGCTCCGCAGCTACTGAGTATACCTTGGAGGGCGGAATAGCGAATACTTCGTCAATATCAAAGATATCTTCAGGGAGGGTGTAAGCAGCTTGTGTCTTCGACAATGAGATGTCCCGTGATGGCGGCTTCGCGGGAATGGGGAGGTATCGAAGAAGTGCATGAAGTTTTCCTATGCCTGAGCCATCCACCGCACTTGTAAGAACGATCGGGACAGTCGATTCCCAGCTTTCTGTATTGGAAATCAGCTTCCGCACCTCTGCCGCATCCTTCGGCTCTGTACGCTGTAGATCCACTGCCTGGGCGGTTGGAACGGACATCATCGCTGGCTTTTTGCCAGATGACTTGAGAGCCGATAGTACTTTCGCAAGATTGTTCCGCAGGCCTGAGCGGGATGCCATGTCCATCTTGGTAATAACAACAACAGTAGGAATCTCCATCTTAGCACAGAGCTCCAGGTGTGATAACGCAAGTGTCATGTCTGCAGATTGCTCAGCAGATTGGCCAGATTCCGCAGTAGCCTCATCATCGCAAGTTGCTGGGATGCAGAGAAGGACATAATGAGGGGCCCAACCGACCAGTCCTCGTAACGTGGACTTCATATAGCGTACTGAACCTGGTAGATCAGAGACAAACGCTAGACGCCCACCCTCCGAGGCGGCGTGGATATCATCCCAAGCTGCAACGTTGCCACAGGCATAGTTGATTACCTCCACAGTTTGTGCCTGTGGTTCATCTGCGGCATATCCGATCAATTCATGAGCAACAGAGCTGGTGATCCCTGACGAGATTTCATGCCGATGTTTCAACAGACCTAATCTGCTTGTTCCTCTTCCATTGTCAAGCACAGATGAGGTCAAAGTACCTAATAGAGAAGACTTGCCGGCCGCGCTGGGGCCAGCAATGGAGATACGGATCTGCTCAGTACTGGAGGAACTGCCTAGCGAGTCTTCTTCCTTCGTATTGTCAGGAGATGAATCATCCTGCGTCTGGCCTTTATTGGGAGACTTGACCCGATAAAAGTCCCAGTCAGGGCTTACCAACGCTTCTGCAACCCAAAGGCGCTCTGCATGGACTTTACTAGTATCCACGTTCTCAGAGTAGGGATCTTCAGCCCATTCGCAACTGCCAACATTCACTCTGCGTAGGACATCTATCTTGCAGCCTAAGCTGGCGGCCATAACCTGCAAAGTGGACAAGCTCTCCTCCAGCTCATCTTGAGTGAGTCCAACAAACGTTCCATCATCAGCAACGCCGACCTCATACAGAGCACCCTGGCTCTCCTCTAGCCCGGGAAGTAAGCGAGCAGGTTTCTGTGCCTCCCCTAGCTGGGTTGTTGCTTCTGGAAGTACTGGTAGTACAAGATTTGCAGTCGTAGACGAATGAAAGGGCGATGACTGTTGTAATCGCCACAGAAGCTGCGTTGTGAGATGCTGCAGCCTTTGCTGACGGCTTTCAGTCGAGCGAGTCTGCTGCGGTTTCGGGTTTGACTCGTAGCTGGAAGGCGTGGGACTATCGGCTGACAAGCTTGCTCGGGAGTGATATGAGCCTCCCACGAGGTGGCTAGTAGACATGGAAACATAGGGTCGTCGAGGGCGTAGGAGCAAATGAAGCTTGTACTCTGTGGGGCCCTCTTGGGGTTCAGGGTCCAGTTTGGTGATCCCATAATCGGAGAGTGAATCAGGATCCGCGCGGTCCAAGTTCGTACTTGAACGTGCTCGAGGCACCGTGCGATTGCCAGTTGCTGAGAATTGAGGGGTCGAGGACCCTGATGTGGACCACGGAGAAGAGACCCGCGGAGGGTCAGGATCGTATGTGAACACAGATGCCATGATGGTAAATACAAGCTCGACGGCAATCAAAGGCCGGCAAATGTAGGCTTATAGACAAAGAATGGCTGATATCTAACAGTGGGCTATCATTAAGACCCCTCGGTATATTCGGTGTGCTCGTAACTGTTTTGTGCTCAATAAATGTACTTTTCCTCGTGTGTAGTTGGTTGATGCTGTTAGAGTCATTTTGAGGTTGAATTGTACTTTGTCAAGAATTGATGAAGGGCGCGGATAAAGCCGTCGGAAAGTGGATGTATTCTCAAAAGAAGGAACCAGAAAAAGAGTTAGACAGTTTTGAGGCGAATTGCAGCAGCTGGCGGTTAGCAATGACGCGACATCTTGGAGGGGAGGCTGATGGGTGAGTCACTTGTCCTTGGGATGCGACTATCCATCGGAGTAAATACACGGTGCCCCGATCGAGTACTCGCCTTACGACATGACTGGGTCAGGTGACGGGCCCAGTCATCCACACGTGCTAGACGTGAGGGGTTACTGCCTGAGGCCCTTAGTGTGGCTAAGCCGCATCGTATTTCGGCTGCAGGGGCTTTGGTTTCAGATAAAACGAGCAGAACAATAGTTGTCGAGGGGAACTAGGAAGCCTGGTCTCTTTTAGTGCTTATGGTCTTTGACCCAGCCTAACACGGCAATGATGCGTCCACTACTGCACGGTGATTAATGGAATGTATTTGGGGTCCGTGTTTGAAGCCCGCTTGTGCGCTATCTGTCTTTCGCCAATATGTGTCATTAACTCGGTTTCTTCGTTCTCCACCGTGCTAAGAGACAGCCGGAAATGTAAATGGCGACCGTCCTTACGGCAGTATGCTTTCGGCAAACGGACAGTCCGATGTAGATGAATTGAAACTCCCATCCAAAGTGATCAAATGGCTATCCAATGTAAGATATCTCACAGGGTATTAAACAAATGCAACTAAATAATACGACACATGCAAGAATATTCGTTCCGAGAAGTTGATATGCAAAAAGTGGACACTCCTCGAAGTGTCCATCGGCCCAAGTCCGTGGTGTGGGGCTTTCCCTCTTCTGATCCACCCATCATCTGTACACTGTACAGATCTGTGCTCTGTTCTGGGTCCGTCGCCTAGACGGTGTAATGTTAGAATACGCTGCTGCCCGAAGCCCGACAGTAAGCCCGCATTCACGAGGTTCGGCGATGTCCTAGCCCATGTACCAGACGCTCATGCCATGTCCATGGCCCCTGACGCTAGCTTCTGTGTGGGGGTTTATTCGGCAGACGGCTCCCTTGCTACCCCCTTGCACTTCCCCTGAGCAACATGGATGTTTCTGGCCGTGGTGCGTGTGAACACAGCACCACAAATGGGACACTCTGCTTTGGCAACCACTCCCGACTTCTCTCGTTGGTGGCGGAGCAGGTTGCTGAAGGTAGAAAATTCACGCCCGTTGCATCCGTGGTCCCAACATTGAGGTTTTGGCCGAAAACTAAGAACGCGAACTTGATCTGGATCTGAGGAACTGGGAGCGGACTCGGGAGAGGAATACACTGTCCCTGATGGCATCAGGTTATGTGGTTGGGGAATAGAGTTGGGGGTTTGCCTGGTAATGCAATATGGTTAGTAGGTGGAACGAAGACTTGATGGCTAACGTGGCCACTCACGAGAGTGAAGAGTTCGGCGTTAGGTAGTAATCTGGCTGATTGACTAGGTATGAAGGAGGCCTAGGAACAAGTTAGCCATAAGATTCGTCTCCTGATGCAGTCGGTGTCCTCACGTTGATGTAAAAGAGGGATCTGGCATGGTGGGTGGGCTGCCAGATACGGAAGCGCTGGGATAAGGATATGGAATGGAAGAACTATGAAATCGATCAATTTTCATCCCAGTTAACTCAGGTAGTACGGATATTGGTACCTTCGAGGCTGGTGTCGGCTCTGGGGCACACCCGGCTGTGAGGTGAGGTAATGTGTAGACGGAAGTCCTGGCTGATAGTAACTCTGTGAGGTGGCATGCTGAGGTGGATATGCTGCTGGGTAACCAGATTGGGGTGGAAGTGTGTGTGCCTGGGGATATGATTGTTGATCCATAGGCATTGAAGTCGGATGAAGAGGCTGGGGTGGCCTGTTTTGCCAGCCGTAATCTGCTCCTCGTCAGCGCCAATAATTCAAAGAGCTTGGAAGCCATGCTTGCAAACATACTCTGAGAGTTGTGTGCCATGTTGGTCGTCAGAAATGCTACTGATCCGGGATGCATCGACTGAGATAATAATGAAGAATCTGACGCCCTGGAGGGAAACGTCTTCAGTAAGTAACACTCAGAAAAGAAGGTCGTTTCTTTCAATACATACTGTGATATTTGTGAAAAGGCTTGCGAGGGACTCCTTTGGGCCAGTCTTGAAGGTGAGTCTGCTGGTTCAAGATCCCGAGAGATGAACTCGGATGGAAAAGGCGCCCTGCCTAGGTACTGATTCGGAGGAAGAGGCGATAGATGACTCCGTCCTTCTCCTGAACTAATGCTGGATATTTCGCTCCGAGGAGAGCTGTAGACCGAAGCAGGACTCGGTAAACCAGGAAGCCAGCCTGGAAGAGTAGACGCAAGTGCGGTATCCGATGGGGTTGTCTCAGACTTTAGCGGAACCGAACCACCATCAGAGTGAGTAAGATCAACGACGAAAGGTGCCGAGGCTGGTGATGGTACTCTCCAACTTCGCGGGATAGAATCGCCCAGCTGTCTGTGACGAACGAACGAGTCGCCTGGTGAGTGATAGAATTCACTGGAAAACATGGGTGTTCGATTGAGGTACGCCAAAACCACAAGAACAAGAGGGGCGATCAACAACTGAGAGAATAACGAGGATGAAGATGATGAATCTTTTAGGAAGATGATTCAAGAAGAAATAAAAATTGCAAAAGATCAACGATTGGGGGGGGGTGGGTTTTATTAAGACGTTGGAGAGATGAAGGAAGAAAAGGGAAATGAGGAAAGAAGTACAAAAACCAACAGGTGCTAAGTAGATCGAAGGAAAACAAATCAGGGTACGGAACATACAGTTAGTTAGGTAGTAGGCTTAGGCAGAGAATCCTTCCGGATTGACAGCAACTATATCCACCACGGGAGACAGCGAAAGTAGTAAGTAGTGTGGTAAGTAGTAGTAGGTTGGCCAGGACGGCGGACGGGTAGATGGATAGTAGGTAGTAGGTAGTAGTAAATCAATTCGATAACCCGTTTTTTGTGTTCCAGAAGCCCGGCTAGAAGAGAGTATTTAACGCCTGGTGGCCTAGTGATAGCCAGACGAGCGAGAGACCGAATAAGCGCAACGAACGGGGGCCGAAGATTACCTGGTGGTTCGTCTTTTGGAGACTGGCAGCTTATGGCGGGTGGGCAATGCGTGAGAGAGAACGAGGGTGGGTGCTGTGTGTATGTATTTTACCTGGGCTTATGCCACTAGATCGGAATAGTAATTACGCTTATCCTGGATTTTTTCGTATACGAATTACCGTGGATTTTTCTCTCGCTATTTTTAATTTGTAGCTGAAAATTGAAAAAAAAAAAAAAAAAAATGGTTCCCCCCGTTTTGATTATGGGGTTTTCCTGACAGGTCGGGATATTATTGTGGTTAGTATTATTTTTATTATTATTATTTCAAATCCTCTCCCGCGCACTCGATGAAAGGCGTATGTGTCTGTGTGTGTTCTTTTTCACTGCCACACATCGGACGCTTCCATCTAACTAGAGGGCCCTCTTTTTCTATTTTATTTTATTCTATTTTATTGTTTTACCTTTCCCTGTGATCTCCAACCCAACAATCACCACTGACCTGCGCGTTATCTCCTTGGATAGTTCTTGGACGTGGGGACGATCCCATCTACGAAACTTCCCCTTCATCTGATCATGTCCATCGGTCGCATTGTTGGTAGCCACAAGTTTCCCCCATTTGTGGTCTGATGATTGTAGAGCATGGAGAACCATCCATCTCCATCATCGTGTTAAGCGGGTCCGTCATTGAAGAACGTTCCTGTTGTTGAGCTAATATTAGTCGTTTAAACGGTGACCCAACGCCGTCGGCCTTCACCACCCACCACACCGTCACCACTACGACTACTGAATACTTACTAGTAGGATCGAACCCGGTTCATTTTCTGAGTTTATTTATTCCGGACAAGATGGGCCACGCCAGTCGGATTATGCTTCCCTCCGGCTCTGAGTCAGGGTACTCAATAGGGGATAGTCCTGCACCATCGCCACGTGAAGGTCCCAACAGCTCAATCGCACCCGGCCTGGTCAGCTTCAGTAGCCTCGAATTAGTTTGGGATGCAAGCGCCCCCCTGTCCCCTCGCTACTCCACTCTGGGAATAATGACGGGGTTAAAGGAGACCTTAGCAATTGACATCAGCAATCGTATCGCCCTAACCGGCCCGTCGATCGATACCAACACTTCTTTTCGCGAGCCATGAGAGGAATAGACTCGGAGATGGCGGGCTTTGGGCTGAGAGCCGCCTGGGAAAGCAGAAACAAGCTCCTCTCATAGTGGAAGGACCGGCTGAAACTAGTGTACTCGACCCTAACCCCCTCTCGCCTCCCCTCTCTCTCTTCCCCAGTCACCATCGGTTGTGGAAAGTTTTAGGGGGAAAACACAACTCCAGCCCCAAAAGGCTTGAGGGCGTTGAGCGTCACCGCCAGTAACAGGAACCGAGTGAATGATTAACAAGCCCCCCCCGCCCGATGATGCTCTGGTTTGTTTCGGCTCATCTTCCTTCAGAGGCGGCGTCGATGGATTTGTCGAATCCGCATGGTTTGGGGGCCAATTTCAGGATGCGAAGGACCTTCAATTCCCTGATTCGTATATCCAGGCGGGTCTGAAAAGTGGCCGCCGGGGCTAAAGGCAGTCCTGGCTGGGTAGCTAGTTGCGAACGACGCCGTCTGACATACGTGGAGTCGTGCGAGATCGTCATGATAGCGAGGCATGGCCTTTTAGATCCGGAACCACATGGCGATAAGCAATGGGCGGTTCAATTAATTCCTTCCCCGGGGCGATGCATGCTTCCTTCCCTCATCCTCCTACCAGGGATTGCAATGTAGGGGAGCAGGGGGAGCCGGGACCCATACCACCAACCGTCCCCTTGAGGATTCCCTTCCCTCCCACGATCACTGGGAGGCTTTCCCGCGCGCACCACGCTGAGCAATAAGACCCGATCATTGTTTTGTCTAGCGTGCCTAGCCTCTGGCGAATGCATCAGGCTCAGAACTTTTGTCCTGTTCTTTTTTGGCCCCCACTGCCTTAGCGGCCGCCAGCCACGCTATGGATCCCGATTCTTACCGCTTCGGGCTTACAATGGGCCATCGCGTGTTTCTGGCTTCGTCTCCCCTTTCATGGCCCGGCGTTGCAGACCTAACTAGAATCAGGCGGAAGAAAAGAAAAAGGGTCTTTCTGGATTATTCCGCCAGATGGCCCCCCCTTAGACACAGTGATGCGCCGCCCCCCCAGCAGAGCATATGCCCACTTACCGTTTTTCCCATACGCCGTGGAAGGGATGATTGGATACATCCTTCGTACTATATTCTGACAATGCTCAAACGCAATGCGCTGGGGAGATCGACAGGTTTCGTTTCGAAAGGTTACTTTCTGTGACGACAGCTTGGCGCATCGCTGCAAGCTCACGGATCCTCCTGTCAACTCCAGAGGATCGCTGTAATCCCCATAAATACTCTCTGGCTATTATCACATCCCCGAGGTATTCTAGACCCCAGGTATCAGCCTTTCTTACTACGGGCCTGTTTCTTTTTCCCCATCATTCTTCCCTGATGTGGGTTGGAATGATCGAGGAGTGAGAGGGACCAGCAGATTGGGTGCGAGCAGATGCAGGGACACAGAAGGACCAGAAAGCTCACCATTTATTCTTCCAATGTGGCCGGGGCTGTAAGATCCGGAGGATCGCAAATATTGCCTGTCCTGAAAGCAGCCAACGGTGAAACGGTGGTCCGAAGGTGCTAGGCCGCTCACAATGAGGTCAAGGTTGCTGCTAACTGCTAAGGGAGGCGCTTTGGCCGACACGGTCAGACTCAGACCCGTGGACCGGCCCTAAGCAGGCTACCAATTACCAGTTACGTGACACGTTTATTTGCGCCCCTCAGAGTCCGGAGCATGGCGAGCGCCCGATTGTCCGATCCTGTGATTGCCTTGACCGCCACGGAAATGATCGGCCAGGATCAAGAACCTCGCTCTCTCACGGGAGGCAGTGGATGTAAATTGGATTAACCGCCCGCTCGCCAGACGCTCGAGTAACCGAACAAATCCTCCTCGAAGGCACTGCCATTGATCCACCTTGCCAAATTCCCGTCCTCCTTATGGGGAGGAATGGCTGAGCAAATGAGCAATATTTGCTGAAATGAGTCTAAACCCAAGGTCAAATAAATTAACTCGCCCCCTCAAATATCGCGCTGATGGAGAAACAGAAGGGAGGAGACAGAAAAATTAAGACAAAAAAAAAATTAAAATAAATAGAAAAAAGAAAAAAAAGTCCAATAAAATCCCCTAGTTGTCACGAGGAATCTCCGTTTACGACCAAGGACATGAATCCTATTGACCAATTTCCTCCGTCCGTTTAGCTTCGCTGCCTTGCTCCACCGGAGGAAAGCCATGGGCACTGGCGGTTGACACTTGGACTGGTTGGTTGGCAGGCCGGCAACAGCGTCATTGAATTATGGGGCCCGTTCTCGGCGACCGCCATCCGAAGCGCCTGGGATCTTTTCCGCTCTTCACGGTGCCTGATCCCCTCGTGGATGTCGTGCGGAGACAGGGAGGGAACTGTGCACAGTCCAGCGCTTCGACGTACCGCCGCAGCCAGCTGTCGTTGGGGAATTTGCTCCCTCCTGGCCGGGGACCACGCAGCGCTCCCCGTTGGGGAGCACCCGGCGATACGCCTGCATCCCATCACCAGCATCAGGGAGGCTCTCAATTACAATAACTACTTTTAAACGCTCTTTTTAACTGCCAGGCTAGCCAGGATCCGGCGATCGGGTCATAAACTCCACGTGCTGTGGCACTTTTATTGATCCTGCTAGGATTCCGCATGTGGCCGAGATGGGAGCCGTTCGAGGTGGGTAGCCGGCCACATGGTTGAGGTAACACCTTAAACCAAGTTAGCACTGCTACCTTGCCTCCCAAATTACTACCAATCTGATCGGGGTTTCTCACTATTAACCAACTACTAAGGCTTGCAGGGGTGGTCATAGTCTACCGGGATAAGAAGGGAAGCGAAGGAAGGAAGGGAAGGGAGGGGGGTGAGAAACACACTTCCACGATCGCATGATCTGCTGGCTCCCTGACCGGGCTTCACTAGTTTCCTTTTTTTTTTATTAGAGTAAGAAGCCTTTTCCTCTCGACTCATACCAACCCCCCTCCAATCGAATGACCACCTTTTGCCGGCCGCCGTTCAGCTCCAACTGACCAACCCATTCGACCCCTCTTTGTCTCCTGGACTAAAGCTGCTCTCCACGCCAACCCACATGTCTTGGACGTACGCGAGCTTTAAGCGCCAGGAATGAGCGGCTGAGAGAGGTACGCCATCCACTTTCGGGGTGCTAATGAGCCTCCAGCAAGAAGCGCCGTACGATCATGACATCGCCAATCCGATTCCAAATTGCTCGGGTTCCCTATCAGCAGACAGTCCTGACCCGCCACCACCAAATCGTGCGCCTTATCGCAGCCAGCCTTGCCTGGTTTGGGTCCTACCACCTGCAGGCAGAGACTAGACTCGATCAAAACTAATAAAAAATAAAAGGCTGTTTTCCACCACGACCAGAAAGGCAATCCCAGCCAACCCAACCAGAGCAAAGCACTAATGCCAAGCAGACAACGGCGGCAAACCGTGCCCTTCAAGATCAGCGACGCACGTATGAACCAGCCTGTAGGTACCAACATGCATGACCGACCAACCCATCCAATTTACCCTGCATCACGGACCACCCAACTGGAGCGACCAAGCGCTCGGTTGATGTGATGTATATAACCCATACTAGTAGATAGTAGCTAGCTAGCCAGCCAGCAAAGATACGTAAGTCTAGACTTTTGACGTGTCTGGAACATGGTCAAAGCCCACCACCACCACACAGCATGCACAGGAAAGATGCGAGAGATGCGCCAGGCTCCAACCAAAGAGATCATTGATGTGTGTAATGAAAAAAACTCACCGGACCATGAAATGTCAAATGCAAAATGTAAAATGTCCAAGCGTCGCGCGTTTTCCAATCGATTAGTTTAACTGGACCAGATGCAAAATAACCCCTCTCTGTCTGTCTGTCTGTTTCTCCCTCCACCTCGGCTTGATTGCTTTAAACGCCTAGTTACTTGGTAGAGACTACTACGTACGTAGATAACCAACTAAACTAAAACTAACTAACTAACTAACTAGTTAGTGATCCAGTCTAACATACGCACGATTTCGTCATCATCATAATGTTTTCATTTTTCTTCTTTCCTGCCCTTTGGTCCCCTCTCTACTATTGTGGGGATGTGTGGTTGGGTTCTGGACGATTGCGTGGTGGGGTAGATATGCCGCACAGCCAATACATTCATTCGATCTTTCGCTCCTTTTTCCGACTTGTGTGTTTCTCCGGCCGGGACTGCATTTCCAAAGTTCCACTGCGAACGGTTTGGAGTGAGACATTGGGCCGACTGCCTTGGATGATCTGATACTTTAGTACAAAGTTTGATTGATTAGTTGTAGTTTTTTTGTGTGTGTATTTCGTACATAGATTTTAGTGATGAATAAAAAGATAAGAATTTAATTCTCCGGTGTCAGTGTAAGTGTACCTGAGTAATAACACTATGGGAGTAAGTCAGTAATGTCGCACTCATAATGCGTGCGCGGGATATATATCTTGTTGCTACAGGCTACTACTACTACTACTGCTAGTCACACTAATACTGTGCCACAAACGCAACGCATGTCATTCTGTCACTTCAACTTAACTCTAAGGACTGAGTACTACTAGTAGGATTACTACTTATTAGCCACATCAGAATTCTAAACCGAACTTAATCTATCAGTTACTTCTTACTATGTACGACTTACTATAATGACAACCACTATGATCGCACTTCCATACCCATACTAACTAAACCAGGGGTCAACCAACTAACTAATAACTCCCTAGTTTCACCGACTACTAGTAGTCAATCAAACATATCAAATCCCTACTTTTACTACTAAGTAAATAGTGAACATTAGTACCAATAACAAACAATTCAAATACTAATTATAAATCACGAAATAAAAAAAAATCATAATCATAATAATAATAAAAGAACGATCAACAACGACCCTATCGGCCCTCGCCGCGCCAAGAAAGATTCTTTGCAGATCCAACCAAGCCCCAGCCCAAATTCCGTACGTACCGCTTCTATTTACCCCTGGATCGACTATAATAAGTAAATTTTAAACTCATATGGAAACAAGATACATACGTAGTCTAGGTACCCAATCTAGATGTTTTGTTTTGTTTTGTTGTTGTTTCGCCGAAATAACCCCGAAAATAGAAACCATGATCGGTAGACTAGGTTTTATTCAGACTGCCAGGCGGGTAGTAGTCTAGTAGACTACTAGCCATGTCAATCATGAGAGAAAATGGAAAGTACAAGTTACTAGACGTAATTGCCGAGCCGTCGAATAGATTTTTGTCTTTTACTTTGTGGAATGTGGATTATGATCGTGTTCTTGTGGATAATGCAATAATTAGTGTGAAACGGGGAGATAGATGGGTTGACTACGTAGTTAGCTAGCTAGCTGGTTCGCTAGGTAGGTAAGTGGTTAGTTTGGTGTGATGGCTGAGGTGAGCTGAGTAAGACACGAGTGGCTCCGATCTTCACTAGTTAGTTGTTTGGTCTGGGGGGGATTTAGGACTGATTGGGTATGCTGGATGTTTGATTTTGGGGGCGGATTTTCAATGTTGTGAATGTTACCTGGATAGGTAGGGATTGAGTCACGGGTGTTGATGGAGGGAGTAGTAGTTACTGATAGGGAAATATTTGACGCTCGCTTCTGTAGTATGTACTTACTGAGTGGATGGTGTGACTTATTATTCTAAGGAGGGTGGATTTAGTATAAATATATGTATGGGCTTGCGAATGATGTGTGAAGCTGATGAACTATCATATGATTCATGTCTCTGACACAATAGGCATGTAGTAACATGCTTTTGATGGGTAGGCTTGAATCTTATACATATGCTACACCCCGATCTATACTGCATGTTACTATAGTTCGAACGCCAGGTATCATATACTCATATAACAAATACATATAGTACAATAAGCGTCCTCCCTATCGACTGACTGCCAAGTCCAAATTCTCGTATTTACCGGCCTTAACAGCTAGATTGCAACGACTCATTCTGCTTCGTCTCATGTTCCCGGGGCCGCATATGGTCCACAAATGAGCCTAGCCGGATAGAACTTCGGCGATATACATGCTTGAAGAACACTTTCGTAGGTGGTATACAGCTGACAATGAATACGACCCACATTTCGGTTCTGTAATCTGTCGTTAGAGTGATACCTATGGCGAGATAGAGGGGATGAGTGCTACTCACTGATTCCAAACAATGACTGTTCCGATCTGTTCTATCATGTCTGTTAGCTCTCATGTCGCCGTGGATGAACAGTATCTACTCACGGCTCGGATCTTCAATTTTCGTCAGAACAGTCAATTGAACAGTTTTTACTATTGCACATGCCCCTGCCCTATTCTACGTCAGCATTGACTCATCCGATAAGAGGGGAGGTGCATTACACGACGCCAAATCCCATCAGTACGCAGAGGCCAATCCGGGTCGCTATCGAGAAAGCGTGGACCCGTGCAAGGAAAGAAACTGGATATAACGCGAGCGCAAAGTCGCAAACAGCAGACCAAGCTGTCAATGTTAGACATGGAACCGCAGAAGCGAAAACATACACTCACGCCCTTGAATATAACCGAATATCTGTATACGGCTGCGATAAGGACAGTACTCCTTAGTATAGGCCTCCCACAGCATCCTCCTCGGCGAGCATTGAAGCATCATGAGGATGGCAGCGACACAGTTCACGACGAGGTTGCTGCCCGCCAAAGACCAGAGAAATATGCTTCTGGCTTTGGTTTGATAGCCTTGGACTTGTTCGAGAAACGCGACAATGACAAGCTTCCCCAATCCAATCGCAACGAGGGCAATTAACTGGTTAACCCAGCCATAGAGTAGTGCCATCTTGCTCTCGTTGAAAGTTAGCATGTCCTGCGGAAGGCCAAGCCCGTATGTAGCTCCGACAGTGATCATCGCCATGCTTGCAGCTCCCAGAACCTGTCGCATTGATTGATATTAGCGGCAATGTGGTAAGTTGAGGAAGGAGAGTACTTACAAATGTAGCTATCGCCAGATACAGGTCTTTCGCCACATTATGAATTAGTTTGGACGCAGCAACGCATCGAGCGATCATGAAGATGATCGCCAAACCAAATTCGACCCATGTTACAATGAAGAATGGCCGTCCAAAGCCATTTGGATGCTCGTCGCTCATTGACTGATAATTGTGAAGTATGCTAGTTTGCTACTATGGCGCAGTCGCTGCATTTCTAGTAAAACCAAGGTCAACTTGAGTTGCTCGGCCAGTCGGTTTTGGGTGACGTGGAAAGAGATAGTGGTATTGCTCGGCACAACGCAATTATGAGTGCCCACCACGACGAAAGACAAGCTACCACCGCCTCATCAGTCGAATAGAATAAGAAGACGAGGATTGTGACGAACCTTTCGGTGGATTCCAAGTTGAGATAGCTGCAATTGGGTTGGCTGTCAGGTGACGGACCGCCTACGTCAACACCCAGGGTCTTAGGTCTCTCCACAATAACTGGAAGTTTCTTTTGGGACTCGCTGTTCCTGGCTCTTGAGTTAGATCCGATATCACAAATCCCGATCTGCAGATACAGTGCGAGGTCGAGCCTCCTCAGCCGTGCCTTGCAAGCATCCGGGTGGGCCGGATATCCCTATTGACATCATCGCGGGTGGGTATCCCAGCATAACCTCGGAGCTACACACCAGCCCGCCATGACCGTCGCCCAGTGTTCGTTTGACAACCTACTTTGGTAAAGAACAGTCGCTGCAACGATAAATGGAGCATATCCGCGCTGATGATAGTGGTGTGTCGCGTAGATCACCATATACAACATCGTGCCTATTACGAAGACGAACGGACCTTGTTTTCCGACTTGCCCTTATTGACCCGAGCGCATCTCAAGTTGCTTGTTACCCATGGTATAGAATATTTCGACAGGATGCGCTGACCAAGAACATTCCATATGCGACAGAATGACTTTGTTTCTTTTGGTGCAGCGACAAGCTGAAATTCCGAATCGCTCGAAAATGTTATCGCTTTCTCTTTTTTGCAGGAGTATCTTCTTGGCCATGTCTGGTTGAGGATACCCCTGGAGATATAATGGATTGTCCCGAAGCTGACGTAGCTCTCTTACCGGTGTATTTCGTCTTAAATTCGCCCTGTGCCACCTTGTTTTGGGAAAGGTGACAGAAGAGGGCGCATATGCATATAATAATGTCAGTCACGATTAACCCTTGACGAAGTTCGGAACTATGCAAAAGAGCAAGGATCATCGGCGCAATCAATCTGCCCCACACCATAAGGAAGAAACAGGTTGACAGTGTGGGTGTGCGCTTCCATACGGCCTTGGCATAATAAGGACAGTAGTACTTAACCTTGTCTAACGTCGTTGGTTCTGTCCACACTTTCCATCCTCTTTGAAGACATTCCTGGCAAGCAACGGGACTGGATTCTCGCTGTGAGCATGTAGCTTTCCTGCAGTTGAAATAGAACGAGGCCATTTTGTTAGCCATGAAACATTCAAGGCGATCGGACCAGAAAGGCTTCAGCTCGCTCTTCTTGTCATATGGCTCGTGATCTACTAGCCACCGCGACCAGCGTCCTAAGACCTCAGAGGCAGTAGCGTTTGAGCCATAAAAGTACTCCCGATGTTTCATACCATCACCGGGGCATATAGTATCACATCTGAAGTTCTGCAGCTCACTGTGGGCGAGCCTTTCGAGTCGTTTATACTCCCAAATAGGCATTTTAGGATCCTGTACCAACTCCCAGTTCTTGAGTTTGCATTGCTTGTCGAGCTCTTTTTTGCGGTCTTCTGGCCGGTCCGTCGATCCAATCTTGAAGCGCTGACATTCATCCTTACTGTCTCGGTAAACGTAAGCATATCCTTGGTTGTTTTCGTTGTAATGACCCCGAATGATGTTGTGCATGTGAGAAAGAATAGCCTCTGTCGTAACTTTTGGTTTGTCACCCTCTGCAGGACCCTGAATCTGCTCCTCTACAGCATCCTGAAATACATCATTCATTCCTGGTAATACGGCAGCACTCCCAATGCTGCCGCTGATTGTTGGAGCCTCACGTGATCGTGGTGGTGAAGAGGGAGAGCCGGCCATTAGTCGCCGCAGAGCATTTAAATTCTGGTCAGCTGAATCGGAATCTAACATGTATTGCTGTACTGTCATAGGCTTCGGTGATGTAGAGTTTCCTGAGCGTTCTATATGTTCAGCTGAGGTTACAGAGGCCACTCTTCGTCTGAATTCCCGCCTCGCTGCAAACTGAACCGAAGGGCTTCGATCCCCGGGGCTTGTAGGTCGAGCAGGGTCACTCGAGATAGTAGCCACATCGATAGGCGGAGGAGAGTCGTAAGTCTCGTCATTGTCGTCTGATGTCAGGTGTGAAAATAATGGAACGTTTCGAGGGAACGAAGGAGTGGAGAAGGGAGATGTCATAGTTGTCTCTGTGTCGGAAAATAGCGTTGAATCTTCGCGAATGGGCAGATCGATAAAGAGGGACTGTGGGTGATTCATATAGACCAGCCATGGCAGGGATAAGCAAGGCAGATTCAGAGGTAGGCCACTGAGTATGATTATGCAAATCAAGAAACTGTTATTATGCGGCTGTGCTCTGTCCATATTTTTCCTCTCACCCAAACCAGTCAGAATAGCCACCTCCCCTCCTATAGCCTTGCACCAGTGTAACGTGCTTTACCCAAAAAGTGCATTGCTTCGTTATATCATGCAGTAGTTGAGACGGCGGTAGTGTTAGCGCATTGCTTAGTTCGTTCGGACCACCCAAATTTAGACCCGTCGGCGCTTGGGAACGTGGCTTATCTCGAGACAACGGGGCGGAGATATTTCCCGCTTGAACCCGATGATATGTGTGCTTGAGAAGCTTGAGTACTCTATGGCTGATTTGCTATCTGACTATGCGAAAACCCGATGCGTGAAGGTGGCATCCTTTTGTGGAAGATGTAGCCCCGGATACGTGGAGCGCAAGCAAGCGAGACGGATGCTGCCCCAAGGGTGTTAAGGTTGTTAGGACTTAGGGTCAAACTGTTTCCCCTCACAAGATGTCTAATACTGACTCGCGTATGCAGCCTATTGTGGCTGGACAGGCATGCTAAACCCATCGTTGCTTAGCTTTAGACCATCCGGACGGCGCTAGTCTAGGGTCCCCTGCTGTTGTCTAGTTGGTGTCACATCTCATGAAATCATACGGCAGGAAAATATGGAAAATTCCATTCATATTCAGCCTGTATTCAGGAAGATTGTAAGATATGCATCAAAGTATCCAGGGCCTTGACCGTGAGGCTCGCCGTAAACCTTACAACCACTAGTCAGGGAATTGAGAGCAAACTCTGAATAGCACGGCTTAGAAGCTGGAATTTCAAAGCAGATCAATTAATCTGTGCTAAAACTTTTGCTATAGCCAAATCAAAATGTATCAACGTGGATGGCAAGGGGTTGCATCAGTGATGGATGTACCCACTGCCTCCGACAGCCCATGACAAACTCCTAAATGCGCCCATTGAAAGTCGTATGTATCATCATATTGGGCAAATAGCCCACAGGCCATTTGGACGCTATAGACATGGCCAGAAAAATAGCGAGCGTTGGTTCTGCACAAATGGGGTTACTAACGATGTTTGCTGTAAATCTCGGGTTTTTGATTGACATACCACATCACAGTGCAAACGCAACAATCGCATTCTTCATCTCCGCAGTCGCAGCCAAAACAAGGCTTAGAGACTGTCTTGATAGGTCGCTTAATGGAAGAGCCAGAACTGGAGGAAGGAAGGGTGAAGTTGACAGCGGAGGAAACGGATGAGGCAGCCATCGTGAGGTGCTTTTGAGATTTGATGCCTTGCAAATGTAAAATGTTGTGACGAGATAGAAAGCCGATCAGAATCAATTCTTGTATTTCACCTGGGAAGAAGAAAGGATCAGGAACGGAGCCAGACCAAGAACCAGAGATGAGCCAAAAGTCGAGGCAGAAGAGAGAGACGCCATCAACGTCACTGACCAGCTCAGGACCCACTAGACCCTTCTGGGGTTAGCCGAGCCGATCAGCTCAGGCAGCAAAGATCCACCGCCCATCTCTTCTCCACTTCCACTTTGACTCCTTCATCCGTCTACTTCCGTCCACTGCTCTCTCAGCTTCACACGCTGTAATCAGTCAAATTGCGGGATACTATATACTCTCAGAGTCTGGACTCTCGGCTACCACCGTAATCCAGGCTAGGAGCTGCGTCTCCCGTATATATAGGGCAGGTATTGATGAAAGTCTCCCATCTAGCCGGCGACAGCATCGGGGCGGTGCAGTACGGCTCGATACCCAATTCGTCCAGATGCCTATCTAGCTGCGACATCACACTATCGCACGCTTGGCACTCCATATCATATTGAGATGCCCTACTGAGCCTCAGCTGCTCCACATACCAACTTGAGTCGTTCCTCACCGCTCCGGCTTCATATAGCGCCAGAAAATTGGGATCAACACCCGCATCAACAGCTGCCTCATACGCCATCCGTTGGCCTATAGCCAGAAGCATGGGGCGACAACGGGGTAGTACTAGACTGTTATATTCAGGAGTTCTATGGCCTTTAGCCCTCTTCAAGGACTCTTTCATCTCCGCAATGAACCCTGCCTCGTGTCGTCCCAAAAGGGAGTCTGGCGTCTTGGCATCGGGTATCCTGAACCGGCCAAGAAGCAACTCAGTAGCAGAGCCTATAAGGCATTCAGCATAGATATAATATCTGAGAGCTGGATCATCACTCACGAAGAATTTAATATATCACTTCATGAGCTTTGCGCCTCAACGCGACGTGCCAGCAGGTTTTAAGTATCGAATGTGTCGCATTGCTAGCTAACTCGGCAATTTTCCATCGTTCCAAGCGTTAGGATTAATTGATACTGTCTCAAAACCATGCAATGCAAAAACCAGCCACTTGCTCAAATTAAATGCAGATCGGCCAGCAACTTGGCTTGGAGGTTCTACAGCTGGGCCTCTAGGTATACAACAAGAAATCAGGCCGAGCTTCCGAGCTGCTTAAGCTCTGACACCGGATTCTCGTCCATCCAAACTCTGATATCCACATTGGCCTGACCCTAAGCTAGACCTACCACAGCTGACCTAGAGTGCTGTCTTTCAGGATTATTGATGACGCCTATTGGGTGTAGCTACTCAGGCGCTGATCAAGATCAAAGGGCCCCGATACACCTGTCTGGATGACTTTGAGACAACGGGGACGTTGAGTTGGTCAAACTCTCTGTCCTACTAATGACTCAATAGCCTTTCGGAGAGGTTTTTTCTGGTTGAAAGTTCCGTATAGTTTGGCCAGGAAGCCAAGATATCCGTTTCATGGTAGACATACAGTTCTTTCCAAGGAATGAAGCTCTCAGTTCAATCAGTCATGACTTGGCACGTTGATTTCACGCAAGCAGCCTTCCTCATCGATCGACAGGGTGTCCTTACAAGTCAATTCTACAGGCTATACCGTGATGTGAGAGCTATGTCGTAGTAAACAGTTCATTTATCTTTATATGCTATCAAGTATGTCTAGCTCAAATATACTTATATGCCTCATTCTTGTTCCCCCGGAGGTTCAATAATCCATAATCTCATCAATTATCCATTTGAACTATCAAGACAGAAACAGCCAAGGCTTCCGACTCTGGAGAAGCGCCAACTGTTGGGCCGTACTCTTGTCCTACAATATCATATATCCGAGGGGAGAATGTGATTATCCTGATCTGTTGCGTACTTCCCTCCACGGCCGCTGGGCGTCGCTAATGAGCTCTCCTAATACATTAGGCTCGCACCAGAGGGTCTCTGCCGCGACGACACATTCCCCAGCCACCATGGTATCCCACGCTTTGATCTCCTCCATGAAATGGACAGCCTCAACAAGACGCGCGCCCTAATTCGGCAGTCCGCGTATTTCTTTTCGTAAATACGTGTATGTCACATGGTTTGCATCCTTCTCATAGCATAATGACTCCGCTAATTGGTCCAAAAAAGCTTCTTTTCATCTATGACATGTATAATATGGATGAGATACAACGAGACTAAACAGGGTCTATGCCTTATACCCAGCCTGACTGCGCCGTGCCCCCAAACGCTCTGATTGCTTTGTTGATACAACGCCCTACTTGATCAGTATGATACGCTGCAGGTATCTGCTTTTGAATCATCTCATGCAACCACTATGAGACATTCAAGCGTCCGACGGTAGCTTTATCTACCAGATGCTCGAATGCTGAGTTGGCCCATGACAAATCACCATGGTGGGCACATACAGTGGGAGGCATCATCGTGTGGAGAATAGGCGCGCTGAATAGTGGTCAGTATATAGTTAATCGCAGCCAAGTGGAATGTAATCTTACCTTTAGTTACCATTAGACTGGCATGGCTCTTCAGACTTTACTCCATTATCGACTGGGGTTTCACTGTTCCTAGAAGCAGTCTCTCGATTCATCTGCATCTTGACGAGCCGTTTGCTAATTCCCGTTGATGATCGTTGTATAAAGGGTCTATAACGATGTTTCTCGCTTCGCTGGTGGCTATACCCATTGTAACTGAGCATTGCCGGGCCAGTAAATAAAGGTAAAAACAAGCCAGGAAATATTAACCCGACCAAGAGGTGAACCAGTCAGAATCCGAGTAGTAACACTCCTCGTGCAGGATGCTCTGAAACACATCAGACAAGATGTGATGGATGGAAATTGCTTTTCTAACCGCCACGGTGGCGCGAGGGTCGGTCAGGCACGACGGCTGATCTGGAGCGACACATCTGCAACCCTCTGGGCGACAGCAGTGGACAAGGGGCGCATGTTCGATGTCTACCCAGCCATCGCCTTCTGAGCTTGCCAGTCGCGAGCGCTTCACACTGTGTTCTTTATATCGGCCGGATTCCTCCTCTTTGGGAAGAAGGCCCTCGATTTCGATTGAGTAATAGAACGGCTACACTTCGTAGGGACGTAAGCTCCTCGTTTCCACTCTTGAAGAACTTAAACTGACAGTTCCAGTCGAAAGTTTCATTACAGCAAAACCTGCTGCGTGTGTTACTATCAGCTCAGGTAGGGTTGGCTTTGTTTAGCTTAGACAGTATAGATATAGAGACAGATTAATACGATATACTCATCTAGAGCATTTTGGTTGATGGAGAAAAGAAATTACTATCATATATATGATTTCTATATATAAACAGAATTATTAGTGTGACGGGCTAAGAAGCCGGGAGGACTATGTAAGGTACAGTAGTTAGTAGAAAAGTTGAATTTATTAGAAAAAAAACTATCTAATCTACAGACAGGTTAGTTCTTCTTATAAATAACTCTTCTAAGAGTTTTTCTTTGTAACTTTAATAAATTTCTTTACTTATTTTAAAGATTTTTATTCTTCTTATAAATATTTCTGGATTAAGATCTAGAACCAGACAAGTTAAAATATAAATATTCTAATTTTAAATAATTAATAAAGTCTAACTTTTTTTAATTATTATTTTTTTTATTATAATATAGCTGAGCTGATGTAGATTTTTTTAAATAAAATAAATAAATAAAATTATACCAGTATTTATAAGCTTCAGTATTATAAAGCTTAATTACTAGTTTTTATATAGATTTAATATATTTTTTTTATTTAACTAGAAATATTTTTTTATAGCTGTATTTTTTTTAGAATATATTTTTCTTATTTATAATTTTTTTAATAATATATTTCTTAATACTATTTTCTGTAATAATAGTATCTAGTTATTAATTAATTATTTTTTAAATAGATAAAGAGTCTGTAGTAATAAATTAAAATAAATTAATATAAAATATTAAATAAATTCTAGATAATATATTTAACTTATATATATATATTCTGATCTGTTCTAATATTATAAACTTTATATTTTATTAATCTAACTTCTTACTAGATTAGTTAATTATAATATTTTTTAAATTTAATTAGATTTTATTATTTTCTTTATAGCAGGGAGCAGGATTTTATTATTAATTAATATATTATTTCTATATTTCTTATATTATTATTATTATTAAGCTAGTAATATCTCAGGTTTCTTAAAATTTATTAAGAATAATCTTAGTCTGCTTTCAGAAATTTCTAATTTAATTATATTTTAAAAAATTTATTTTAATATTTAAATTTAAGAGCTTTATATAGAAACTGTATTATAAAAAAAAGAAACTTATTTTTATTAATATAAAATTTTAATTATTTAGAGCTAGCTATACTAGAAATAATAATTTTTATTAATTAATCTACTGTTAATTTATAAAGTATTATAAAAAGATTTTAATAATTATAATTTAGTATTTTATTATACTATCTATTTCAGAATAATAAATAGTAAAAAAATATTATTTAATATCTAGTATCTTATATAGGATTATTTATAATTTATTTATAAACTAAGAATTATAGTCTGAAACTACTGATTAAAATACTTTATAATAATTATAAAATATTTAAATAAATATATTTATAAAGTTTTTTATATCTATGCTTAGAATAATTTTAATAATAATATTTTTAATTAACTAGTTAATAATAATTATAATATTTTTATAATCTTGAGACTCTAGAAGATCTACTAGAAAATTAATAATAATATTTTATTAAAATTAATTAGAAATCAGTAATAGTTTCAAGAAATCTTATTTATAATTTTTTTAAATATAATTAATTTTATAACTGTCATAGTTACAGCAGAATTAATAAATATTTTTATTTATATTTAACTAGTAATAATAATAAGTAATTATTTTATAAGTTTAATTCTGTCTAGAATATCCAGTAATTATATTATTATAAATTTCTTAAATAATCTGAATTTATAAAAATTCTAAATTAGAAACTTAAACTTACTTTTAAAAAAATAAATATTAACTTATATCCAGCTGGTATTCTGTAATAAAGACTTTTAATTTTAATTATTTAAAAAACTTAGATCTGTTTTCAGTTATTATTTTATAATATTTTTTCAGATTTTTATTAATTTATTTTATTTATTTTTATAAATTATCTAGTATTAATTCCTTGGGCTTTAAATTAATAGAAATTTTTTTATTAAAAATTTTATTAATAAATATTATATAAGTAAATTCTTTTTTAAGTATAAAATAAAATAACTGGATCTTTTAATTTATAATATATTTATTTTTTTTTTTAGATATATTCTGGAATCTACAAAATAAGATATTTAATTAAGTATTTATTATTTCTGGACAGTAATTAATTATAAAATTAAAATAATTTAAAAACTGAATCTAATATATTTATTATTTTATAAGCTGCTATTAAATTATAAAGTATTCTAAGTTTTAATAATTATTAAAAATTTTAAAATAGAAAAATATAATAAGTTTTAATTTCTATTTTTATAAGATTTAAATAATTACTAGCAGTTCTTTATTATAGATTTAATAATTATATTTTATAAATAAATTTTTCTTTGAGAAGTATACCACTAGATAAAGAACTTTTTAATTATTTTATTAAAATAATATTCTTTCTGTATATTATCTAGAGAAATTAATTTTTATTAATATTTCTTATTTAAGATCTTAATATACAAGAACAGAAATAGTAATAAAAATCTTTTTAAAAATTTTAAATATTTTTTAGATCTCTAGTATCCAGCTGAACTTAATATTCTTTTTAATAAATTATATTAAAAATTCTAAGTAGACTTTCTAGTTCTTAAGGAACTATTAATAAAAATTAATAAATTCTAAAAAAACTTTAATATTATAAATAATTTTTAATATTTTTTAATTTTATATAGTCTGGACCTTAACAGGATTCATATAAATTTTTTTTTTTATTTTAATAATAAATTTCAGGTATTTTATAGTAATTATCTTAAATTTATATTTATTAATATTTACTTAAAGATCTGTATTTTATAAATATTTTAATATTTATTATATCTGAATACAGTGTGTGACCAGGCTTTTATTTATAAAGATAAAAATATTATTAATATAAATAAAGTAAAATTTATTAAGAAATTCTTATAAAATCTAGTTAATATATTATTAAAATATACTTAAATAATTAATAAGCCTGAACAGGATTACCAGCTATTTAAATAATTTAAAATAAATATAAAATATAATTTTCTATTTATCTTCTTTTTTAATTTAAATATAATAAAAAATCTAGATAATATCCAGTTTAGTATAATAATAGATTTTTAAAATATATTAAAAATTTTTTTAAATAAGTAGCAAGGAATATTAGTCTTTTATAATTATTTAATTAAATATTCAGTAGTCTGTGTAAAAATATAAATTATTATTAGATTTTAAAATAAATAATATAAATATAACTGCCGGAAAATTATTAATTCTTATAAATCTTTTTTTTTAAAAAATTAATTAAGATCTTCTATAATACTAAAAGTTTTAATTAATTTATTTAATAAAAAAGATTTCAAGGAGTCTCTTTTTTCTTTTCTTCAAGATTTTTAATTATTTTAATAGTATAATCTATTCCCGGGTAATAGAGTGGTAGGATATCTACTATTATTTTATTAAAAATATTTAAATATTTATAATAAAAGTCTAGTAGTTTATTTTCTACTTTTACAGAATCTTTTAGCCAGTTAAGTTTATAAAAGACTTTATTAATATTTATTAAACTTATTATAAATAGCTTTATTAAGTTTTTTTTTTTTTTTAATTTTTTTAAGTATATTATATATTAGCAGAAATTATAAGTAATATTAAGAAATAGTTTTATTTTTATTTATATTATACTTTTACCCTCATGCTCTGGATATTAAGTATAAAATTCTTAGTTTAAAATATTATATTCTAGTATTTTATCTATAGGAGTTCTAATATAATATTATATTTATATATATATAATAAAATATAAAGATATATATATTTCTACAGATTTTTATTTATATTTAATAATATTTTTATTAATTTAATTATACAGGCTTTTTTTTTCTTAAATTCTTTAATACTTTGGGATTTGATAAAGATATATTCTAGTTTATTTTTATTTATAAAATTCTAGTTAATTATTCTGTAAGATATACAGCTAGTATTAATTAAAATATTTATAAAATAAATTCCATTGACTAATTCTAATATAGAAAAGATATAATAATTTTTAAATTCTTAAATCTTTTTTTTAAATTTTTTATAATTATAATTAATTAATATATATCTTCCTAGATAATAATCCAGAAAAACTATATTTTTTTTAAAACTAGAATTTATTAAATAACCAGATTCTTTAATATCTGGCTAGCTTTACTAACTGGATTATTTTTAAATAAAACTTAGTAAACTTTATTCTTTAAATTTTAAAGATACTATAATAGCAGATAAAAATATCTAGTAATATAATATTTTAAAAATTTATAATATAAACAGAATCCTGTCTCATAGTATTTAACTAATATTTTTTTTAATATTTATTAAACTTATTAAGCAGGTTCTATACTTATTATTATAGATTTTTAATTTATAGTATTATCTGTGATTACTTTTTTAAAAATATTATTTATTTAAATATTAGAATATTCTAGTTATTTTTTTAAAAATTAGTTTATTTTTATAAATTTATCAGCTATCTATTTAATTTGTTAATAAAAGTCTTTAAAATCTAGTTTTTATTTAATATTTATTATTTATTAATAAATATTATTATTCAGGACTTGGTATAGAAAGTTTTTTTTATTTAAATTTTTTTAATTATATTCTCTAGTCTTAATTAACAGGCTGTTAATTTTTATTAAAAAATTATTAATTATTTAATTTCTCTGCTTGAGGATGGACAGCTTACTAATAATTTTTTTTTATTAAATTAAATTTTTATAAATTAATTTAAGATAATTAATTAAAACTGTAACTGAAAAGAATAAAATCTTATAATTAATTTTTATTTATAAATTAATCTTTATTTTAATTTTTTTATTTAAAAATATAAATATATACTAGACCTGTTCAGCTGGTATATTAATAAATTATTAATTAATCTTAATTTTTATTTATATATTATTAAACTAATTCAGAAATTTATTTTTATTCTTTCTATTAAAGTTTATAAATATTAATAACTTTAATTTCTTTATATTAGTTAGATCTTGGACTGATACTAATACTAATACTAATATTAATATAAATAAGAATATTATAATAAATACTTAAAAAAATAGAAGTCAGATATTAATAAATTACTTAACCTGCTTGAGACTAGTCTTAATTTTATTATTTATTATTATATTTTATTAAAAGATAATATATTATATTTTTATACTCTAGATTATTAGTTTTTTAATATATTTAATTAATTAATTAATAATATCAGCTTAAGTAGTATCTTCATAATAGCTAAAAATATTTATTAATTTATTATAATTATTATATATTACCAGTCTATTATCTAATAAATACTTTAAAAAGAAACAAATTCAAAATTATAATAGATTAAGAAGCCGGGAGAATTACATAAAATATAATAATTAATAAAAAAATTAAATTTATTAAAAAAAGAATTATCTAATTTACAGATAGATTAATCCTTCTTATAAATAATTTTTCTAAAAGTTTTTCTTTATAATTCTAGTAAACTTCTTTACTTATTCTAGAAATTTTTATTTTTTTTATAGATATCTTCAGATTAAGATCCAGAACCAGACAGGTTGGAATATAGATATTCTAATTCCGGATAGCTGACAGGGCCTAGCCCTTTTCAATTAGGGAACTTCTATAAGAGTAATCAAATGCTAAATTTTCTTCTGATACATACTATCCAGTATATTTTACTGTAGTCTTTCCGGCATTTTACATATTATCACTGCGAATGTTAGCTATAGTATAATTACTAAAAATTCATAATTTAAAAGATATATGGTTTCAGGTATTATGTTAGACATATAAAGTTGTATACGAGTTTGATTCATGAAGCTTATATAATTCATTTACTTATATGATATTCAGCTATCACATAAACAGAAGCAAGCAGACTGTAAATTCAAGAAATCAATGCTATATTTGATCAATACTTGTCGTTTCTGATCGTATAATCATTCGCTCCCATAGGTTCTTGGACATTCTTGGAACCCCATTTCACTAAAATAAGAAATATAAAACCAGAGCGCGGGTGTATCTCATGGACAAACCTAGCGCCTTTCAGACATCATGGACCGCTGAGAAGGAGGAGAAGCAGGTTCTTCAGACAGCTCAGGTTGCAAGAGATGAGTTAGCGCCGGACCAGGATTTTCCGCAATTAGATTGTATCCTTGCATATTGTGTAACTTGGTGTAGACTGAAAATGAAGCACGCATAATCAAGCACATAGATTGAGTGTGATAGATATTCTCTATCTTCAATCCCGCGAACGATGGCAGTTTCCGCATCCATGTGCTGAGCTCTTTTAGCTCTTCTTTTGTGATATCTCTTGAGATATTAACGGCAAAAAGAGCGTTGTAATCCGCGGGAATAGTTCGCGGGTCTACTGTTCTATGTCCGTTGAGTGGTATGTTAACTGAAGCTGCACCAACGAGCAAGGCATGCGTGGGTCTCACTATAGTCGATGATCGGGTGAGAAGGCTTTGAAACACGCTGGTAAACTCCACACTTTCATGGTGCGCTTTCTTCCTTCGAGCAATCTCGTTAGCCAGTTTCGCAGTAAAAGTGTTATTTGGTGCGGATCTTGCTGTGACTGTCTGGGAGCTTGTTGCTGCAAGAATCTCAATAACGTTGCGAGTAGTCTTTGGTGCTCGGGTTGTGTAATGAGCATAGCAGCAATCAAGGATGAACAGGATATCAATAATATCCGAGAACCCCTTCGGGTCCTTGACGTCTGCAAGGATAGCCCTTTCGAAGTTGGCGGTCTTTGATTCTTCGCTCATGTTTTCCGCAATGTTGAAAGACCCATTCTTGGTTGTTCCGTGGCCTGCATAATGAAATATTATCAAGTTGCGTTCGTTGTTGAGTCTCGCTTTCGCTGTAAAATTGAGCCAGGCTCTTGATAAGGTGTATACAGGGTAATCATCGTCAGAACCAAGAACCAGGACCTCAGCTGGATCAGTATCGAAATTCTTCAGCATGCTTTGAAAGTGCGCGGTATCTAGTTCGGCATTTGTATCATCCAGCTCCCATCTCACAGCAATCGAATAGATGTTCTGATACTGCTGGCTTCTCTGCTCCACAACAGCCCGGAGCGTGGCTTGGAAGTCAGTGTAGGTGATGGACGACCCCATTTCCATGGATGCCTGAACGACCATGCGGGAATGAAAGGTTGAATAGCTTCGTGGCTGGAAACGTATGAAAGACAAAGTATATGAGGCAGGCGACACAGTGGGGGAGAATGCTCCAAGTCACAATGTGAACTAGTCACTATTTAAAAGCCAAGCCGACCAGAGTAACACAGCACAGGTAGGGTCATATGCTCAGCTAGATCTGACTTAGAAAAGGCAAGGATCTAAAAAAAATGTAAAATTTGAGATGCTCAAGCGGCGCTGGGAATAGTAGTATAGTAGTAGTTAGTACTATGGCAAACTCAACCATGAGGGTGGGCCCTTATATAGTAGATCTAGCGGGATCCAGACGACCAACATACTATCTGCGATCATGCAATTCTACAAAGGCATGTTCCAGAAACCCCCAAGCCCTTCCAAGATATGGAAATCCAGGGTAGCTCAAGGTAGCGACACAATCACAAAGGCGATCACACAACAACATTGGACGTGGGACAGTGCTAAAGAATCAAGGAAAATTCCAGATATCAATTCTCTTTATGAAGTCATTATAGAATGAACCCAGTCTTACCTCCGTTAGATCCCCGATAATAGCGACTTTACTCGCATCACTGATAGTACGAGGCTAAGCCTGATCTTGGCTCTCAACTTTTCTTCCTGTTACGTTCTATGTAGATGGCTCTTACCTCATGGCAGACCCCGGATGAGATGCCAAATTGACCACAAAGGTACAAGATGAAAGAAAAATTGACGGCTGGAAAGAGGATCCATCTTGGTCGGGAAACCCCCCATGTCAGCTCGTCACTTTGTTGGCTTTACTCCGAGACGGTGTGACGCTTCCAAGCTGGTAGGGAGGTTACTCAATGCTCAATATGAAGTCAGCTTGTCCGAGCTGATTTGCAAGTACAGCTTGTATTATCGACAGGGATTTCCCGTCTACCAATAAAACGTAGTCCTTGGTGCCCGAGCCTTGTTAGAGCTCTCCTTGTTAAATGCATGTCTTCAGATGAACACCAAAGTGTGCCTTCCGAATTATCAAAGCTAATGGTATCTTTTGAGCAGATCCCTAAGAGAATCTGGTCTGCAACCGTATATTTCCTGACTCAGAATCCTTGTCCACATAGACACCTATACCTTTTCAGAGTCATTATTGACTTCATAAATCTTTTTAACTCAATAGGTGCTCTTCATCTTCGAAAAGCCAGGAAGATATTCCGACATCATTTATACCATGTCTTGGGGTAGGACATAAACCCGAGGTTGTCTCGATAAGCATATTTACTTTTAGGCAAGCAATGACCCGCAGTGGCTTGGAGAATTCCAATCTCCGCCGCTTCTTGCATCTTTTGCATGATTATTGACGTCAAGTTCGTGATCTTTCCAGCTGGACACTCTACTGCCCTTATGGGTATCTCAAACAAACCCCCAAGTTTCTAGAGATAGAAGAAGTATGCTTGGAACATTGTTCCAAACCAGATCCTGTACTGAGTAAAACTGGAACATGTTGCTAATTACTAGTATAAGTAGTATTTACTTTTCCCCCTAATCCCAGGGAGCACAGTATTCTCAGGTGTACTATCTGATGAGTTCAGGATCAGTAAGCCTTCAGCTTCGGGTCAAAGTTTGGCAGAACCATTGTACCCGGCTAATCTCTTTGGCTGATATATCCCTTGAGGACTTTATCAAAGCCGTAAAAGCGAACTTGGATGCATCGATAACTGCATCACTGATTTTCGAAGCTGTATAGCCGCCACCCGTCCATCTAGGAGGCTATATTGTACATAGTGCTATACATCAACAGAGTACTGTTTCGGAAGATGATAGCATTGTATCATAGGCCTTTATTTGTGTAAGCTGCATATTTGGCTCAGGCACAGATGCTTTAGAACCGAAGACAGAGCAAGAAGTGCGACACCAAGTCCTGCAATGATAATACTGAGAAAGGCATTGTTTGTACCTGAAAAGTGTGGTACAACACCCCACTTGGTCTTTCCAAGGCGCTTAGAACTGGGTGGAACCTTCACGGGGCCACCAGTATCAGAGAAAAGGTTTTAGCCTTATATCGATGAGGGTGCTGGTCCATCATGACCTGTTACACGACCCAGTCGAGTCTTTGTCAGGTCGTGTAGGGCTTCTAGCGCGCACAGCCCCTAATACATATTAGATTGATTTTAGATCATCTGGCCAAATCGGGTCACTCACAAGCTTAGCTTGAGAGTTGTATTTCCTATAAGTGAGGGACAAGGAAGCTGCAGGGGCTTTGATATCTTTATTTCCTGATTGCTTGATGTATTTTGGTGCTCGGTAGAGTGTAAGAGCTGGGTGGTTATTCAAGCAGCTCTGTACGCGTCAGAGCAGTAGATAGCGGTCAGTTTGTGATTATGAACCTTCTCTTGCACTCGAAGACGGCCAACTGAAGTCGATAGACAGTTGTGGCTGCTCTAGTAGGAGGACCATCCCATTCCATAAGAAGTATTCTCTGGATTTGGTTCATGGCCACAATTTTCGCGGAGGACGATCTCGAAGCGGCTGTATAAGTATTGATGGGTCGGGATTGGCTGTCCGACAGCAACTGGGACGTCGGGATCATCGGAAGCGAGGACACAGTCTTGAACTTGACGTTCGTATGGGGGCCACCGCTGATCTCCAGTATCCCATTGATTAAGGCCTGCGCTGTGCCAGTGAACATCTGCTTGATCTAGTCAATTTGGCACACGCGATAGAGGGTAACAGAGACGGCTATGTACCTGGCTAGATTCAAGATGAGCAAATATTCTTCTTTTTCCCTTCTTCTTTTACCTAGTGTAGCATCGAGTGCCTCCGGGTCGATTTTTTGGGAGAAAGGACGCTTTATTTTTCCTCTGTACATATTGGCCGTAGTTTTCATCTTCATAAAGTATTTTCAGTCCATTTTAGGTAAATTAATAAGTCCCATGGTATATGTGGAAATCCAATGAAAAATAAGAAAACTGATGATGGCTGTATAGAAGAAATAGTATGAAGGTAGGCTTGTAGCTGTCTGGCGGGATTGTAGGAAAGAGATTGGTTGCTCCGAGAGGAAGAGTTGGAGCAATTTATAGGAAAAATCGAATGTAGAACGGTGAATCGAAACTGTGACTTCCAAAGCCCTTTGAAGGTATACCATGCACTCAGGGAAGAAGCACAGATTGAAGGGGGCAATATTCAACCATGGTAGAGTGATGGGAGGTGATTAGTGAAATCTGCAGTGAAGGTTTTGACTGCTGACATCTGGGGGGAATTTACAGCAGGTTATGCCAATCTTATTATTCATCTCTCTTAATTAATGTGGCGGATACAAAGGAGAGGATTTATTTGTCAAGCAGTTGCTTGTCTAAGTAGCCACCTTAGCTGTAGCAGACTGGAAGGACTTTATAGGGTTACTGCGGCTACCCCTCTCATTAATCCGGACGGCAAGATCCGCTTATTTGGCAAATATCCCCTTGTTCACGTAGCCGTTGCGGTATTTGCCGGTAGATATTGTCGGCAGAGCCTCTTCCAGCAAAAGAAAAATACCATTTCTACTCTTTAGCATATCATCTGAATTGTAGAATCTACTTAGGAGAGAAGGTAGACGGGGCAGACATCCACCTGGCTAGAATTCGCAGGGAAGTCATTATGTGCTAGCTACTAATGAAGGTAGGAATATCGGTGCTGCTTCTGATTATACTGTTGAGGCAGGTATTTTCTGCGTCTGCTTCTAGTGTTCAGCAACAATAATGTGATGGGCTAGTTGGGATGACTACCTATTCTTTCCCGCAGTCTCGCCCCCTGAGTCTTCCACTTGTGCATCTCAGAAACCTTCCTCGCTATCCCAAAATGAGCCCTCATTCGACGAGAAATCGGGATAAAGCTCTTCGTCTGTGGCGTAAGTGGCACCACTGAGGGCAAGAACTCGATTTAGGACCCACTGCATGTCTAGCAACTCCATGGATGGAAGGGGGTGACTGTTAGGGTCGTTTGTTTTGAAGGTAAGAATATCTCCGGAGCATAGTTTCTTATTTGTGGCAATATTAAACAGCATGGTTTCTTTTCCATCAACGGTTGTTCCGGAGAGCTTGCGAGACATACGACGGGGGACTTCGGTTGCTGGAATCCTCGAACGGTAGTTATAAACCGGGAGCCAGTAGAATTGCACCTGAAGCGACCTCCGATCCTCACTCAAGGACAGCGGTTTCCAAGGCAAAGCGTGCTGTTTTCCATAGTTTATGGGCCATATCCGTCATGCACAGAAAGTTGGAGCAGGTCTCTGTCCCTTCTGGGCCTGCAGCCTGATTCATCCATGCCATGACCCTCTCTTGGCTCCAGAAACGGTGCAGAGGAACCCAAAATTCCCGGATAGCTTGAGTCTCCTTTCTTGCAAGACCGTTGGGGAGGATATGTGCGATTTCGACCGGATCACGGCAGCCGGTGACCACACAAGTGGCATTATCTCGCTCGGTGCACTTGATGGGAAAAGTTAGTTGGAAATCGAGCGAGTCAAATCACATGTGAAGTTTCCTTACTAGTTTATTGGCTAAATGAGTGGCTGCTTCGTCTGCAGAACTGGGACTCTCTTCTGTCTTCAGAGTCAACCGACGCTTCTTGATCGGAGGCCCCTCGGTATCTGATTCTTCGTCTTCATAGGCCTTTTCCAATTCTTCTTTGGGCCGTGAAACCGCCCCTGATAGTGTATTAGCCTGAGTCTGTTTGCATTATATCACAACCCACTGACAGGCATCAATTACTTGTGTTTTATCCTCACTCTTCGAGAGATCACGGTGCACTATATAACCGTACGGTGAATTCCTTTCACAGGATGGCACGAGACTTTCTAATTTCGAGAAATCCGCAAACCACAAACAAGCCCAGGTGATTGAATCAAGCTTGGTAAGCTTTGCAGCACATACCAGCTGTGCGATCAGGCCATGCCGCTTTGGTTCAAAAAGCTCGCGCGCAGGGCTTGGAATAGCTGCTTTACGTTGACTGGAACTGTCTGCAGAGGCCATTGTAGCCGTCTCGGCTTGGTCAAACGTAAGATGTCCTTCCAGGGTGACAAGACAATCTGAATTTTCAATATCCGAAGAAGAGAATCAAGGGACGGAGAAAGAATGTAGACAGTGCCACGTACAGCAGAGATGGTGGAGACTATGACGAAGTACTTGGCTCCGAATCTTCTCACAAAGCTGATAGAAGATAACTGCGGAATGAGAAGTCGGATGGAAGCGAACGATTGTGCGCTAGAGGGAAGTATTCTCTAGGCAGTCGACAGTCACAATGATGTGATTATGTGTAAATTGTACCCGATAGGACAAGTAATGAGCCTCTAATAGTGACATCGTGACCTCAGCGTGATATGTAGGACGGGCTAGACACATGGGCGCTGTTTATCGTTCTTGTTAACACTAAGGGATTCCTTCCCTGCTTGGTCATATCAAACCTTCCAACACCGCATACCTAGACAGGCAAGTAGGCAGGGTCGAATCCGTCACAAACACGTGGAGAAATCATACCCCAAGAATACAAGTAACAAGATTTTCAATCAGTCGAGTAGAAGGAGAGTAGTAGTGGTGGTAATATTTACTTCGAGAGAGAAAAAATACAAGTAACCAAAAACCCAAGCAAATCCTAATTAACATCCCCAACAAACCTAAAAACCAACCCCTTAACCACCTCTCCAACATCCACCATACAGATATCACACCTCACCACCTCATAGAAATCCGTCTCATAATACCTCAACATCTCCTCATCCTCCGCAGACCTTACCTCATACGCCCAACCTTCCACCCTCGCCGACGCATCTCCATCGACCAAAGCCTTATACTTGCCCCCTCCCCAGGTCCTCAAAATCCCTCCCTTGACCACTGCTTTTCGATACACAGGCATTTCATCCAACCCCAGCCTTTCAGTTAGAATTTCCGGCACAGTCAAATCCCCATAAAAGAAATACCACACGGGGTACTGGCCCTGCTTCGGAAGAAACACCTCATCCGCACCAGTAGCCCGATTCTGCGGAAGGGTAGGGTCGATCTCACTACCCAGGGTTGGGGCGATGCTATGTGCGGAGAGATCTTTCGGGGAGATGTTGATTCGAACAAATGTTGCGGAGAATGTACTCCCTGCGAGAGCGGAGACAATATTGAGCTTCATAGTGCCGGTGATGAGGCAGAAATTGGCAGTGGAGGTTTCGCCTACTCCTTCTTTAAGTATGGGGATTGTGGGAGACTTGGATAGCCCTTAGGACTTGAGATGGGGTGCTTAAAAGTCCTTCGAGCTTGACGAGGAAGGTTGAGTTCTTGTCCCTAGGGTGGAGGATTGTGAGGGGATGGGTTGTGTGTTTGTAGTACTGGTTGGTAGAGGCAGTTTCGAGGATGATGTCGTTGTCTTCGTTGTTAATTGTAACAGCTAGGATTTCGAGCTCGGCGAGGAGGTCAATTGTTGAATCTTTCGTTCTTGTGGGTTTTTGAGAGTCTTGGATGGATAGTTGTATGGGTGGGAATGATATAAAACTAGTGGACATTTTCTTGCCTTCTAGGGGTATAACAAATAGGAAGTGTTAAATGATGGTGAGAATAGTTGCGTTGAAAAGAAAAGTATTACTCGGTTGACTCACACTATCATCCATAGCTGGAGTAGCTATATGGACATCTCTACGTAATGATATGGCTTCAAGTGTGAGCGATATGTGTACATGACGTCGACAGGATTGGGTAGGTCATGCGAGAGGCGTCATGAATACCTAGACAGTCATGGAAAATAAATGCATCGTTCTTTATTGTAGGCAGTGATAGGGCTTTGTCATGAACATGAGGCGCATCTACTATGCGGAAATAAAATGCGAGATGCGTGTGGCCAACTCCCCATTACCACCAATATATATCGAGGCTCTCACAAAGAGGAACCAGGAGTTGTATGACCTACTATTCTAAAGATCATTTACATCGCACAGAGGCCAGTACTTGACTTCAAATGGGAAGAAAAGCAATAAGGCCGTGGAAGGGAGCTCGATGTTTGGCTCTTCTGAGAAATCTAGGACAATTTGAAAAGGATAACACCAACCAGCATCGTGGAGCATAAGACATAGCACATAGCGTATCAGGGGAATAGACTCGAATACGCCACCGGAAGTGAGGTAGTCTTTTTATCACACAAAGACACTACGAAGGCGATATTACAGAGGCGAGATGAACATACGAATCGGAATTCGATTTAACTCATAAAATATATACACCACTTTTGTTCATAATTCATAGCATGTCCAGCCATATTCTATAAGGTGTGGGTTCATCGCTCATTGGCTCCCCAGGGGTATCTTCTAACGTCGTCCATAAGAGTCCTCGTAGAGAGACCCGATCTATCCATTAAGTAGTATTTGGTCATCAAACTGTCGTCATCCATCCTTTGTTTTTTCATTGCCTTTACAGCTGGTCAGCCCAAGGGGCAGCACCAGGCTGCATCTGGTTCAGCCACTTGACAAGCTCAACGAGCTCGGCCCGACGCTCCTCCTCCAGCTGGTCCTCATCGCTGAGAACAGCCTGGAAGATGGGGACGAGCTGAGGAGTGAGCTCACGGACAGTGGGGTCCTCCCACTTGTAAAGCTGGCAGATCATGTGGTACAAGGGATCGTTCTCCTCGTAGTCGTTCTTGAGGGGAAGGATGGTGAGAAGGACAGGAAGGACATCCTTGATGGGAACGTTCTCGCGGTGGCGGAGGATCATGCGGCTCAGGCAGCCAGTGGCATTGTCCTGAAGACGGGAGACATTCATGTGAAGGCACTGCTCCAGACGAGACAGAATGGTGGGGAACTCCTTGACGATCTGGTCCTTGGCCTCGGAGTGCTCGACGAGACGGCCAACGGCGTAGGCAGCGTTCGAGCGAGTCTGAGTATCCTCATCACCAAGGCGGTGGACAAGGAGCTTCAGGAAGCTAGCGGTGTAGGGGGTGACAGCGGAACCCATGCCGTTGATGCACTCGGCAATGACACCGACAGCAGTGGCGCGCTCAAGAGCCTCGGTGCTGCCAGCATAGCGCATGACAGTCTTCTCGAAGACCTTCCACAGCTCGGCAAAGCTGGCGCCAAGAGCAGCAGCCATACCAGAGACAACATCAAGACCAGTGTCAACAACAACCCAGTCGAATTCAGAAGTCTCCTCACCGGCTTCGAGGGTCTCCTCCTCAGGACCGAACTCGAGCTGGCAAGGGTGCTTCTTGGTGATGATGTCAGTGATCATGGTGATCACGTTGTGGAGGGTGGTCTCGTTCGAGATCAAGGAGGGACCGCAGTAACGCAGGTTCTCGGCCATGTTGCGGTTGATGTCGGCGACGGTAGCACTAGTTTTCTTCTGGTTAGCTTTTATAACCACGATGAAATCATACAGCAGAACAAATGTGTAGATAAATTTCAGAAGGTTGTGAGTAAACGTGTTTCACATCATGCACGACTTTTGCGTGTCGGAGTGAGCTGGGTAAACGTGGTGATCATCATTTAAGATAGCCCGAGGGCGGGCATGTAAAGGCATCGAAGGAAGAAAATTTGGGATACATACCGATCGTCTTCCTCAGTCCACATCTTGACAGTGGCAGTCATGAGAATCTCACCAAACTTCTGGACTTCCTTGGCAGGCTGGACCTGAAGGGGCAGACCAGGCTGCCACTTAGCCATCTGGCCACTCTCCTCAGCAATGCAGTACAGCATGGCGTAGGAGCGGTGCAGGGTGCTGATGGTGCTCTTGCGGACACCCTCGTAGGGGTGCTCAGCCAAGGGAAGAACCATCTCAATGGTCTTCTCAAAGTAGGGAAGGTAGGCAGACTTGGTGTGAGTGACGAGATCACCGATCACCTCGACGGCGATTTCCTTCTCCAAGGACAGAGGGGTGGTGGCAGTGATGTCATCCCAAGCGTCCTCATCGTCAACATCAACATCCTCGATATCACCATCCTCTCCGGTGGGCTCGTCATCATCATCATCGGCATCGGCAACACGGACCTTGCGGCCACCAATGGTCACTTCCTGACCGATGAGATCCTTGGCAGCAGCACCAAGCGAGACATCGAGATCAGTCTCATCCTGCTCGATGCAAGCAAAAAGACCCTTGACGACTCCATCAAGGAAGGGAGAGAAGTGCTCAACGTAAACCTTGGACATGGCACCCCAGAAGATGTAGGTGCTCTCCTTGAGACGGGAGTGACCAAGGTGAAGAGCTTCCTCAGTAGCACGCATGAGGGGCTCAACATAAGGCTGGTAGCGCTCAGGACCGGCAGCAGCGGCCATCTCACCCATGGCGTCAGTGACACTGGCACGAAGGTCGAGCTCTTCCTCGCTGTCCTTGACGGTAGCGAACTCCTGGAGGAGGTGCATGGAGTCATCGAAGAAGGGGAGGAAAGAGTCACCAGCGGAGGAGGCGAGAGATCCCAGAGCTCCAGCAGCCAAGCCCTTGATACGGAAGTCGGGGTGCTTGAACAGGTTGTGAAGGATCGGGACCAGTTCACCCTGGTAAGGGGCAACGTCCTTCTCATCGAGACCATCGACAACGGCGTCAATCGCACTGATACCGGCCTTCATGATGTCAACGGTAGGACCATCCTCCTCACCCTTGTACTCCTGCATGGCGCTGGCCAAGTTCTTGAAGAGGAGGGGCATGAGTCTCTCATGCTCCTGGCTGAGGTCCTCGGCCAGGTCGTCGGCCAAACGAGCGACGGCGTGCAGAGAGGCCTGGCGAACCTTGGGCTCGGGGTCAGCCAGCAGCTGCAGGACCATGGGGAAGATCTCCTGCATCTGAGTGCTGATGAAGTCGGGAGCACCCTCGACACACATGCCCAGAGCCATGATACCAGCGCGGCGGTAGTCGGGGTTACCGTTGTTGAAGTACTGTCCCAGGGTCTGAAGCAGAGGCACAACAACCTGGCTGGGAGGCAGGCTCTGTGCGAGGATGTCAAGGAGACCAAGAGCAGAACGAGCAGGAGTAATGTCATCATCGGCAGGGGAAGCATCTCCGAGCTCAGTGACGACCTGCAGCGCCGTGCGGGTCAACTGCTCACCGATGCGCATACCCTGAATCTTGAGCTTGCGGTACTGGACGCACTGCATGAGGAAGCTGATGGCCTGGGTACGGACATCCTCCTCCTGCTCCACGTTGCCGGCCAGCTCATTCATGAAAATAACGAGGTCCTTGAGGTGGACGGTCAACAGAGCGGGGTCACAGCCCAGAAGAGTCTGGAAGACCTCGAAACCCTGCATGATGCCATCGTCCTGCTCACGAGTGATAACATCCTTAAGGACGGCAACCATAGAGGGGATCAGGTTCTGGAAAGCCTTCACAGGCTCGACGCTCTCCTCCGAGTCGAGGTACATGGCGAGCTTGCTCAAGGCCATGAGGGTGTTCATGCGCACCTCCTCGCTCTCGGGATCACTGATGGTCTTGCTGAAAAGCTGGAAGAGCTCATCAAACTTCTCCTCAAAGGCATCGCCCAGAGTCTCCAGAATGGTGAGCAGAATGTAGATGCTCACGGCACGCTCTTCCTTGTTACCGGTGCTAGCGGCCTGGAGCAAGAAGTTGGGCAGATCAGCCCACTCGCCATCGTTCAGGTCGATCTTAGCAATGGCAGAGATGACACGAGCAACCGAATGGCGGACGAGAGAAGAGCTCTCGCCAACAGCAGCACGCAGAAGCTGTTCACGGATCTGGGGCTTCTGGCTTGCCTGAACGGAAACCCAGTGCTTGACAACCAGCGTCCGACTTTCGACGGCCGCCAGCTGCCTCAGGTTCGGATCCTCATGGCCGGTGGCGATTTGGATGAGGAAAACGAGAGATTCGGGGCTCTTGTAGAACTCGCGCTGGAGAACGCCCGTCGCTTCCTTTACATTGCCCTGGGAAGCTGAAATAAAGAGTCAGCAATGCCTTCTTCGCAAGATGATCCAAAGGCAGGGTGCAATACTCACGGTTCAGGACGATCTGAAGCTGCTGCAAAAAGCGTTGTTGATCCATGATGGACTGAGCAACTTTACTTTTCCTCTGCAATAATTTTCTCAAAAGAATAGCCTTGTGCAAGACAAGACCAGCACCTTCGTTTCAGAAGGTCCTAGGAGTGAATGAGCTGACTGCACACAAACAGACAGCCCACAGGGTATCAAAAAAACACAAATATAGAACAAGAAAGAGATAAACACAAAGGAAAAGAAAGGTGTGAGAAGAGGAAGAGGGGGAGGAGTGAGAAAAGGAGAGAGAAGAAGGAGAAGAAAAAAAGCGAATGGAGGGGAAGAAAAAGGGAACCGAAAAAAAATTATGTTCGGGTGGGCTGTTTTACGGAGATACTCATTTTGCCTACTGTGGTTTAGCGGTAATTCTGGCTTGCTCGGGATGCCAATCAGGGGCCGATTCACACGACTGGTAACATACCATACTGCTCTGACTCGGTGCCCAACTGAGATCGGCCACCGTTTGTATCCACTCGGTCCTTTTTTGACTTTATTATTGTATTATTGAATTTTTTCATTTGTGGCCTGCAACGGTTCAGGAATCA